CCAAAACGAATGCACCGTTATCAGCACCTGCACATCCATATGAAACGAGATTTTCTACGGAATAAATTCAACGCAGCATTGAAAGTATTCAAGATGATAAACTTATATTTTTACATGTTGAGTCAAATGAAATGTGAGACGTCATTGTCGAGAGTATGGGTGAAATATCAGTGGGTCTTCAAAAAATTATTTATGGTATTGAAGAATTTCGAAGTATCGAGTAATGCTGTGTGTATACAAGTGAGATACCAAATACGAGTATTAGACTTTACTTGTCTAATAATCTGGATGAGGAGAAGGATGTCATCTCTATTGGCATAGACCAACGTTATTTCTATATATCAGTACGAATGATTGTAACGATTATATGCAGAGAGCGTCCAAATTCCATCCGGGGGTGTAATGCCCTCGTTCGAGTGTGACCTATACATAAGATTTGGTCTTATGGTGCCATTTATTCTCATCACACCTATTGCCTCTATCTTTCTGTCCTTTACATTTGTCTTTATCTATCCGTCTTCTTCGTTCTCTCAAATGGTTGAGTATTTAAGTGTGTGCTTTATATGTAATCGATGCGATTTATGATTGGAAGAGTTAAATAAAGTGTAATACCATCAACACAGGCATCACTTCTATCTAAAATCGTCACAATGATCACCTAGATGTATTAAAAAAGAAAATAAAGCAGCTGATGAGAAATACTTGGATACACCAATTACGGAAATTCCTCGTTCGCACAATCAGTTAATGTGTTCAAATAAATCAACCAGTACAAAATTTTCAATTACAATATAGTTGATATCACACCAATTCATTACTAATAGTGATTCATTCATAAAACATCAGCTGAGAATCGAAACCCTATTATGCATTCCAACTATACCAGAAGGTAAAGTGGATTTTATCACTTGGTCTCGTGAAAATTATTCTGAATGTTCAACCTATATAAGAGATATCAATCAATTTGATTCCGAATTGAAACCCGGCCAGGCAATACTTTGGTATACAAAGAATTCGTTTGTTCACCGCATTTTAAGTCAAACTTTTGCTAGGAATGATATTCGATTGCTATTTAAAATTCGCTTTTCTGTCTGCCATCTTCAGAGAGAACTAAAAAGAACTTTACAAAGAATATTACAACAACTGGGGTCCTCAAATTACTGTATATCGAGGGGAAAAAATGTCCATCTACGAGTTTGATGCATTAAAAGCAAGTATTGACAAGCTTATCATTACAAAATGTTTCCTATCGACGTCATTATATAGAGAAGTGGCTTTGACCTTCTCTGGACGCGCCACAATAACGGCTTCCAATATCTCGGTTATTTTTTGTATGATTATCAACAAGACTGTTAATAAAATAAAACATTCGGATTCATTGGGCACATAAGCGATATGCCCCATGAAGCAGATATCTTTGTCGGCATTGAAATAGTAGTTGTTAGTCGTGAAATTAAGAAGATTGACGTATGTAAAATGATTCATTAGAATCAGACTGTTATGAATTTTTGCAGAAAAACCGAGAAAAACATGTTTCAAATTGACCTAGTGCACAGTGAACACCAGGAAAGATACACAGAAGAGATTATCCTATCACGAACGGATTATTTAGATCGAGCAGAAAATATTCAATTAATGGATCGTATCGAGGTAATCGTATCTGATGCTTTGAATTTCTCAAACGAGCAGGGAAGACCACAAGCGCTTGAGGTTCCAGGCGATGAAACAAGTAAGACAAGCTTAGTCATGTCGCATTTATGTGTAGCTTACCACTTATGCTACAGATAACCGACCAGTAGAGCCTCAGCCAGCGTTAGAAAGTCAGGAGCAAGCGACGAATCAAATGAGCGGTAAGTCAGCTGGCGTCATTTTCTACTTTCTACGAGTGTTATTGACCCTGATGCTATTTCTTCATTGAGCAAGTGCACTTTTACCATAAAATGTTTTGAAGTTTGAAAAATTTATTATCAATTGTATTCATATTTAATTAGATGAACTATGATGAAATATTTGTCTTGTATATTTCATAACGTAGCACTAGGGCACAAGCATTATTCTCGTTAAATTCGTCTCCAGTATCGAAACGTTTATTGAGAGAATTAGAACAACTTAGATTGTTGAATACTTCTGAAAGTGAAGCCCCAATGTTTATAATCGAGCCCTCACTTTTTTGCCAAAGATTCTGGCTCATTAGAACCGATTCGAATAATTGGTCGACTACTACCAAGTTCAGATATATTTAATCAAGCCTCTTACCGAGTTGAAATATTGATACCAACTGGTTATCTATTCGTTGCTTCCGAGGTGCACTTTCTCACTCGTATACACCATCTAAATGTTCATATCAATGGCGAGTGAACTTCAAAAGGCATACATATCTCTCAACTGAATGAGTTGCTTATCGATTACCAATTATTTTCTTTTAAGGAGCGATTAGTTCACCTCTTCTCCAAAATAGACAGAAATGGGCGGCGACGTTAACTCTACACGGCATCATCGTAGCTGTAATTAACACGGTTGATTGTCCAGGCTCCAATAACGCACTTGATCTTGGTCGATTCTTTTAACACTCCTGTTTCATGCTTATTTATTTTTAATTGACTCTCCTTTTAGAAGTAGCAGCCGCATATAGAAATAATACAGCTGAATTCGACCGCAAAGCATTAAATATGGTGAGACGGCATGGTTTACCTCGAACATGAACAAAACATTGGCGTATGCTGACGAATTATTATAGTTCTTGCACATAAACAATATGCCAGTTGTTCACAAGAAAAATTTGCACACTTTGCTTCACACATTTTTTCTGTCTATGCGTGTCTATTCGAATTTGCTCTTTCCAAACTGATCAAGAAGAAAGAATACTATGAATTGCAATTTCATTCATGAATTTTTAGAGGAAGGAAACAGAAGGAAAAATTAATATTTTATAGAAAATGTACACTATTTCAAAACTAAAATTAATACTCTAAAGATTAACTCAAAAGTTTTACAAGTTCCTATCTTTTTTTCACTATGTACATGCAGCTTCGTTTTTTTCCATTGCATTAAATATGTTCTGTCTCTTGTATAAAGTGTATTAATCTGATCTATTCACTTTTGAGATGCGTGTTCCAGGAGAAATTGCATATAAATATTCTACCAATATATTTGAGATGCAGAATTTGATTCGTCGTTGAATTTTTTTACATGCTTTTATTGATATTATTATTACAAGTATACTAATCGATAATCATTTTTTTTCTTCGATACTCAAGGCATTAATATCGGTTAACTGTCATGAAAAGAAACTATACTTCTGCGATAGAACATGAAAATTATAATTTAAAACATAGTATATTACTGCAATAATTAAAAGGAATTATCTTCTCCATATAACAGTGCGTTTACTGTTTCATCGTGTAAAAAATATCCCCGTGTTCGAAAAATTCAGTTATTAGTTAGGATATATTGAAACGATAATAGTGATACCAAATGAACACTGAGTAGCTGTCTAATTCGAGTTCGAATATAAATGGAGAAAAGAAAAGTTAAACTAAAACTAAATCTATTTCTATCACCTATTTTAGAATTGATACCATGCAGTTGGGTGTCCATTTATATTCGAATTCGAAATAGGCATCTCATGTGAGCAGCAATATTGGAACCCGATACAAAAGAAATCAAAATCTTCCATCCAAAAACATTTTAATTCCACCAAACATACTTATACACATTTCTTTAAAGTCTACACGAGAATTATAACTGTCCGACAAGTCGGACTTACTACGATATGAACGTTCTCAATACATTCAACTTCGAAAATCTAAATTTCGTAGCTTACAAAAAAAGAAAAGTTAGACCTATTGCTAAGTCATAAGTGGGAGCGAAGTCGATTTATAAATTTTATCATTGATAAATACTAAATCTTTTCCCGGCGATGGACTGAAGACATCAATGTGTTTTTTTTCCATTTATATTCGAAGTCAAATTAGGCAGTTACTCGCAATGAAAGTTTCATGATACATATCAAATATAAATTTTTTCAGTGAATTTGTTTCATAAGGAAAGAAAACACAAAATGCGGGTATACTTTTCTCGTTCATAACAGACTAGGTGCGCCATCATTTTGTTATTTGACTATTCTACGATGCAATGGAATTGGTGTTAATTCTTCCTTCCTTCGAAAAATGAAAAATATCTAGTCTTTGTTCACACAGACGAAGCTATAAAAGAACAGTTCCCTAGTAAGTAAAATACCGGAGATTTATATACGATTAAAATCTATTTCTTCATTAATAGATATCACGTAATTGAAAACAAAATATTTTCTTATTCTTCTGATCTATTTTCTGCGCTGTATGACATGGCTTCCTTCGTATTGAATGTTTCTTGAATATGAATAAGGTTACACACTACTGAATACATAGTCTAAAAACAATGTTTCCTCGTCGACGTTGAGCGAAATTGATCGTTTCTGAATGAAGACGATGCACATCGGGTCAAGTCCCACGATTTATTCATATCCTAATAAGAAGTCTACATTCATAGCTTTTTTTTGCTGTAGAGATGCACGATTTTTACTGTTTTCATTTGTCTTGAAATTTTACATAAATGATGATTTCAATCAGAACAATTTATTCTGAGATATGATTCATAAATGATAGCAATAAATGACAAGGTTGAAAATTTTATATAGAATTATCCTCGTTTTATTTTGGTGATTTCGAGCTGTACGAATAAAATACAATAACAGAGAAAAAATTATTTTTTAAGGATATGTTTAATTCATAACAATCCAACGTTTTCTGTAAGTCAGAAAAATTCTAGATCAGAAGTCTAGTCCTTGCTAGATATTTTTGAGTGCAACATCAAGATTTACTTTTAATAGTTGTGTTCTGACGGTACAACATAACTAAAAAATGTAGCCCTGGCAGCTTTTAAATTCAAGAGGTTCTTTCCGATCATCTTTTAATAAATAAAAAATATAGAACAGAATTTTATTTGAATTTTAAGATAAAATGATAAGTAAATTCGAAACATTACCAAATGAAATATTATATGATATATTCGGTTATTTATCATGGGATAAAATCTTAACATTATTTTGGTTATTAAATAAACGAATTAATGTTCTTATTTATGCAATATTTTCAATGGATAAATATGAAATTAGTTTCAACCAACTAGATTTGTCTTATAGAAAAATTTCATCAATCTTATTACCATTGATTTGTAATTCTTTATCTCTTTCATCTTTAATTAAAAATATTCATTTCGATGGAAGAAATTCAAATTGCTATAGTGCTATTCATGAATTTCTTTTTTATAATAGTGTTAAACAAAGCCTTCGCTATCCTAATCTCGAAGCACTGAATATAACTCGATGTTCATTATCTCAATCGTTACTTCAAATATTATCGGTGCTCGTTCAAAAGCAATTGAATCAACTTACGTTAACATTCGACGAAGAGATATTCGAATCGATTCGAAAACCAGAAGAACCAGGAAGGATTGTTTCTCTTGAAAGTAAGTCGCTTCTGTAGATAGAAAACATATGTTTAAAGCTTTGAATTTGACGTGAAATAGGAATCGAGGTGGACAGCATAGTGCTGGCCTGAGTCTCAGCTAGATTAGAACAAGGGCACTTTATTCTTGATCATAACTGCTTAAAAAGAAGCGATCGATGTCTCTCCTAAAATTGTTTTAAAGTGCTTGACACAGGTATAAATCAATGAGCTGTATAGTTTCAATGAATTGTTTACTAAAATCGCGATGATGCCAAACTCATATAACATTGGTCTGGCTTTCATAAGAAGATAGATTCTATGAATTGTTTCTTATCCATTTCTCATAATCAATAAAAACTAAGTAAATAATTGTTTGAGGATTTCGATTACTTTTTTGCTCTCAACATACTACAAAATATTCTGAATCGATTCCAGTTCATATCAAAGTTTCACAAAATTTATGAAGCGATCTGACAGGATCTTTCTGACAAACACATGTATTAGAATTTCGTCGTTCATCTGCTTCTATCTTATCGGCATTGTTTGCAGGATTGTTAGACTCTGCACATACGAGCTATGAGCTTTTGAATAGTAATTACTTTTCTTTGAAAGGGTATTATGCCAGTGAAGTATGTTTTAAATAGTTCATATGTCAGAATCTGAGATCATAGTTTTCGTTTGTTTTTGATTAGCGAGGGAAGATTTGAAAGAGAAAGTCTCCCAAAACTAGAGAGAAACAGGTTTGCATTATTGTTTTTCCGAGACAAAATATATTATTTGCTAGAATTTGTAAGGTTTTCTTATTCAATTAAGAAAATATTTTTTTGCTGCTTTCTTGTAAATAAATATGTGAAAAAAAGATTAACGAGAAAAGATTTGTTTTTCTAGTCGTAATTTTTTACGTTCATACCTTTTAATTTCAAAGCTTATGTTCTTGGAAAAATTATTTCTTGGTTTGCCTATCACTCATCATCGCTATCGTCATAATTGTTTCGAATGTATATATTGATATTGCGAGCTTTTGCTCTTCCTGGATGCATGAAAAAGTTTTGAACAATATCATCTGAATGAACTCAAGTGAGCAACGTCTCTAGTCCAATATTCCTCTAATAAGCTTTACTAGTAAATATGAGCATTTTCTTTTGCATTGTACTCATTTCTGCATGCACTAATTTAATCCGTACATGTAACTTTTTTTCGAGTCGTAAGTTACGACTCGTAACGCGTCTCTGAGCGTTTGTGGATGATGACACTTCGCGCATCAGGACACATCTAGAATGTAACATTCTCAAGGCATCCAAAAGCAAATGCGTTTAAACTCATCTGGATACAAGATGCGTTAGAACGCATTTACTTTTTTCTCCCAAAAAAATTAAAAATTATCATCACTCTGTGTCGAAATTGAGCCGATCCATCATATTAAACTATGGTGTCACATCCAAATACCATGAACAACAGAGTGGTAATTTTTCCAACGATAGCGCGAACCAAGATTTGAACCCATGAACAGTTGATTACAAGTCGAACATAACTTGCGCTGAGCCATACATTGCTGGATATTGTTATTATGTTCATGAATCATATGAATTAATCGTTGTACAGCGCCATCGATAAGTTTATGAATAGAACTGTCGACTTATCTTGCTTTGTAAAATAAATATAGTTAAGATATTTCTTTTAATGAAATCAAGCTATGTCATTCTTTTTATCAATGAAACAACAGTGGAAAAAACTCAAAATCTGGGTTACTGAAAAATTAAGAACAACAAATATATCTGCCTTTGAAGCCTATAAATGTACATTTACGCAGTATAATAATATTAATTAACATTTTTCCCATCAGTATAAGGACACTATAACAAGTATTTAATGCGGTCCTTCCCACTGCATTCGTGTAGTCGGGCGCAGGTTTTTTTTTCACTTTTTTACTTGACGCGTACGCATCTAAAAAGTGATTTTTGTTGCGTGATGATCTCGAAATTCGAGAGTTATAGAAGATCCCTTGAAAATTCAGGAAAGAATTTTAAGATCGAACTTGATATGTCTCTTTTCCACTTTTAAAGAATCCTAATTGGAACAGCGGAAATATGACTTCGCGTAACGCTTATTTGCTTCGCACCGCAACTTGTAGTCGAGTGAAACTCGAATACCATCTAGTTTTTTTAAAGAAAATGAGAACGACATATCACCGCACATAAAATAAAAAATCGCGTCTGTGTATTTTTTCGTAGCCTTCATACTGTAATCTTGTAAATCATCCATCGAAAAAAGAATGAATGATCCTATACCATTAAGAATTTTTTAAACTTACTTATCAATTTTTAATTGTTTAATCCGCTGCGGAACAGAAGCATTTATGTACTCCGTCGGCAGTTTTTTTAACTTTTAATTTTTAATGCGACACGACGCATAGAACTCAAGTGGTCCGTCGGGAGTTCTTTTTTAATTTTTAATTTTTTAATCCCATGCGACGTATAGAATTTGTGTCGTCCGTCGGGAGTTCTTTTTTAATTTTTAATTTTTTAATCCCATGCGACGTATAGAATTTGTGTCGTCCGTCGGGAGGTTTTTTTAACTTTTAATTTTTAATGCCATGATAAGCAGAAGCATTTATGTAGTCTGCCACGACTATTTTTTTTAATGCGACGCGACGCATAGAACTCAAGTGGTCCGTCAGGAGTTCTTTTTTAATTTTTAATTTTTAATGCCATCCGAGGCAGAAGCATTTGTGTAGTCCGTCGCGAGTCTTTTTTTATTGCGATGCGACATATTGAATTTGTGTGGTTCGCCGGAAGTTTTGTTTTAATTTTTAATTTTTTAATCCGATGCGAACGTGAAGCATTTATATGGTTTGTCGCGAGTATTTTTTCAGGCGATGCGACGTATAGAATTTATGTCGTC